CCTGTTAGAGAATATGGGAAAGATGCTATTCGTCTAGCAAATGTTCTCTGTGACCCTAATCTTGATGGTAACTTTCTTTCAGTGGGAAGAATAGAAGAAATGGGAATGTCTGTTTCCTTTGAGAGGGACAAAACAATCATAAAAGATCCCAAGACAACAAGATAGAATCATTCTCACTGTACATAGGTATGGAACATTATACAAAATTGAAGAGAAGCAAACACAGAAAATATACCTTTCCAGACATGAAGAAATTATGCATCGAAGATTAGGACATTTCCACCATGGTGCAGTTAAGAAACTTATGAAAAGGTATGATTCGAATATGACATGTGGAGAAATCCAAGAAAAGGAGACTGTTTGCTCAATATGTGTTTTTGGGGAAAATGAAGAAGACTTCATTTCCCAAAGAAAAAGTCGAATGTTCAACTAGATTACTTAAGTTGATACATACTGATGTAATTGGACCTATCACACCTACATCAAAAGGTGGATCAAAGTATGTCATTACCTTTGTTAATGATTACTCAAGGTATGTTATGGTTAAAACTATGAAATCTAAAGATCAAGTCCTGGAATATAAAACAAATGTTGAAAATTTTCATGGACTCAAAATTACTACTCTATGAAGCGACAACAGAGAGGAATATGTCAACAATGAATTTGATGATCTCCTAACTTAAAGTGGAATAACAAGACAACTCACAGTTCCCCGGACACCACAACAAAATGGAGTTGCAGAAAAAATGAACCATACTCTATTTGATATGACTAGATGTCTTCTCCTAGTTTCCAACATCCCACAAGAATTGTGGGTAGATGCTGTGACTACTGCCTGTTATTTGCACAACAAATGTCCATCAAAAGCTACCGAAGGAAACATACCTGAAGAACTCTGGACCAAGAAGCCTGTGCAAATTAGTCACCTGAAAATATTTGGCTGTTGAGCTTTTGCTCAAATTGATAAAATGTTACAGAAAGGAAAGCTAGGAAAGCACGCTCAAGAATGTGTCTTAAAGGTATGAAAGGATACAAACTATGGAATACAGAGAAAGATAAGCTTTTAGTGAGCAGAAATGTTAAATTTGATGAGACTGTTTTTCCATTGAGAAGGAGCCAGACAGCTACTCAAGCAAAGAAGGAAAATGAAGTGACCTTTAACTTAAATCATGAGTACAATTCCGACAGTGAAGTAAATGTTGTTCCATTAGAAGTACCCATCAATTGCACCACCACAGGAGTCGAAGATGTTGAAACCCCATTAAATGACAAAGCAGAAGAAATTGAAGACACAGAATCAGCATTCCTGGAAGATTCTGATAGTAGTCAGGAAGACCCTATTGGAATCAGGAAAAGCACTAGAGAAAGGAGGCCTAAGACTTACTATGGGGATCCAGTGTTATATAAAGCTGTTTATGAAGAACAACCTGCCATCAAAATCTTTAAGAACCAAATAAGTGTAAAAGAAGCAATGAATTCACCAAATGCAGAGATGTAGAAACAAGCCATGAAGGAAGAATTGTCTAATTTGTACGAAAACCAGACATGGGAATTGTTTCCAAAGCCAGCTGGCATCAAACCCATAGGATGCAAGTGGGTATTCAAAGAAAAAGAAAATTCAGAAGGAGAAATAATCAAATATAAAGCTCGATTAGTAGCTAAAGGTTACTCATAAGTCCCTGGTATAGATTTTTCAGACTTCTCCCCGGTTGTAATAAATCTATAAGAATCCTTCTGCCGATTACATGGAAATTCATCAATGGACATCGCTGCTGCCCTATCTAAATGCTTACTCAAGGAAGACATATACAGTACAAAGTCCATAATCCAGACTCGTCAGGACTTCGGCGATTCCGGATTCCGAGGTTTTTCCAGATTATAGATCATCAATTTAAATCTGGTAAGATGGCATGCATAAATTATACAATTAAAAATATGAGACCGTAATTTATGAAATAAAGAACAATTATGATCTAATGGGAATCAAAATTTCCAAAAAAAAAAGCAGCTTAATATTTATTTGTTTACTTTATTAAACATTTCTTTCAATGTAAGTTGGTTAAGTTGCTTCATTTTTTGTGCTAATACTTTCTCTTTAATTCTTAAACAGACATAATTTCTTGTTCAGTTACAAAGTTCCACTGTTCAAGTCCTGTAATTACTGTGTCGAGAATGCCGACTAACTTGTCAATCGAAACTTTTTCGTTTTCAATAACCTCTGTCACTTTCTTCACTATCGGAAGTGGTATTTTCTGGATCTAGAACCATACTACAGATTTCGCCGTTCGTTAATTGATTGATGATTCTGCATTGTCATCGCAATGAAAAACTTCTGTTATATCATCTTCATTTATTACCGCTTCTCTGTATTACTTTAGAAAGCCCAATAACTGGAAAATTTCACCTTTAGCTTGCTGTCCAAAAACCTTAAAATTCGCAGCTATAATCTTCATCATCCTCACCGTGAAATATGGTAGCTGGCCATAAATTATGCCAAGCATTTTTTAACGTATCTGGAGACACATCCTCCCATGATCTTGTGATGCTCCACACAGAAGATTTTATCCTAAAAAATTTCAAAAAGTCTTGAATAGTCTTGCCGTTGTTCAAGGAATTTAACATAGACGCTTACGCATTACGCGCATGCATAAAGCATACAAAAAAAAGTTTGTGGCTTTGAGGTCCGGATTATAGATCATTCCGGATTACGGACTTTGTACTGTACGGCACAACCTGAAAGATCTCAAGAGCAAGGTAAAGAGCATGTAGTGTGCCATTTAAAGAAAAGCTTGTATGGCTTAAAGCAATCAGGAAGACAACGGAATGAGTGCTTTGATACTTTTTTGAAGAATTGTGGACTGTCATACTCAAAATGTGATCCATGCATTTATTACCATCCAAACAAAGCATTATATCTTGGTATCTAAGTAGATGACATGTTAATTGTTGGGACCCTAGAGGAAATAACCACATTTAAGCATAAAGTTGTGCAAAGATTCAAAGCGAGAGACCTTGGTGAAGCAAATGAAATGCTATCTCTGAGGATCCAGAAGCATACTGATGGCACCTTAACATTAGATCAAACAGCTTACATAGTAATTCTGGTAATCTTTGTAATAGAATTACAAAATAATTCTTGAAGACAAAATAATTCTTTCAGATTGGAATCAGTCAGGGGAGTATCAACACCCGTGGCTCCCACTGTAAAACACCAAAACGTAGATGATGAAGAGTGGAGAAATATAAAAGCAAAGAGTGTCCAAATTCCATATAAGCAAGCCATAGGTAGCCAATTATACCTATCTTGCAGAAGATGTCCTGATATTGCATTTAGTGCAACTGATATGAACCAGTTGAATGAGAGGCCATCTGAATTTCACTGGTGGAGTGTTAAACATCTTTTCCGCTATCTTTAAGAGACCAAACATCTATCCCTTAAATTCAGAAAGACAGGAAGAGCCCTTGAAACATTCTCTGATGCTGACAAGGTTGACAGAAAGTCCTTCAGTGGATATGTTCTGATCTTAGGTGGTGCTTCAACATCTTGGTGCAGTAAGAAGCAGTCTACTGTTGCCCTATCGTCGGCTGAAGCCGAATATGTGGCTGCGGGCCTTGCTACAAAGGAAGTTTTATGGATAATGGGACTGTCAACGGAACTGCAGATGTCCCATTGCCCTCAGTTATAAAAGTAGACAACCAAGCAGCTATGTTCATCGCTCAAAACCAAACTACATCTGAACGCAGTAAGTACATGGACATCAAGTATCACTTCATATGTGACTATACTGAACAAGGTGTGATTAAATTGGAATACATAAATTCCAAGGCAAACCTAGCTGATCTTCTAACTAAAAACATTTCAAAGACAGTGTTAATCAACTTGAGAAAATATTTATGAAGAGTTACTGTAAGTTCCTTTTTTTTTTAAATCTCTCATTTTTGAAGGTTGTATTTAATCAATTTAAGTGAATGTTTTTTTAGGCATACTTTGGCAAAGGAGGAGTGTTGGAAATAAACTTAATTTTATTTTTATGCTGTTGTATCTGCCAAAGCAATGCTATAATTATAGACTCTGTTCTTTTATAATCACGTGTAGCTTGTTTTGTTTTCTGCTGAATGGTAACAGTTAGTCAAGTAAATAATTATGTAATGCACATTAGTGGTTTGCTTATTTCTTTCTACTATATTTCAAAAATATATCTGCTATTTAAGTGATTTCTGTCAATAATGTTTCATTGCCTACAAACGGATAATCAGAGTACTATCAAGTACATCAAAAATCCAATGTTCCACATACGCACAAAGCACATTGACCAAAGGTACAAGTGTGTGCAAGATGAGTTCTCGAAGGGACATTTTCAATTAGGCTACGTCAGAACTAATGAACAATGAGCAGACATTCTGACGAAGGTGCTTCCAGCACCTCAGTTTTATTTTCAGTTGATTGGTGTAAAAACTGTCAATAAGTAAAGGTTAATCTATATGAACAATGACTATTTTCATGCTTGAAGGAGGCTGTTGAGAATCGAGCATTTAATTGATGTTATGTGCAGTTTTAGTGGCATCATTGTTTTGTTGTATTATTGTGTTTTGTGCATCTGGCATCACTGTTGTTTCTGTCATTCTAAAATGTTGTGTCATGTAAACAATAAGATGTGCATAAGTTCTCTTTACCTTTTTGTTAATAAAGTTCAAAAATTCAATTAGCCATTACTCTGTTTGTTAATTTTATAACATATGCAATAGTGTTGTTTATAATTTTTAAGATGTATTATTACTATGCATTCTAATTCGTCAATATAAATCAATTTTCAAAACTCTCTAATAAGAAAAGTCTACCTGAGGTACAGTTTTAAGTCAGAAGTGTAAAGTAATCAAATTCATAGCATATATGAAATTATTTGTAAGTGTTTGAAAATTAAACTATGTAATTGTTATTTATTCTAGGTGAAATATTTTGAGAATAATTATATGCTAAAGCATTTTCTTTACTTGTATAGAACCCAAGATTGCACCTTTAATGGCCAAGACATTAAAAAGTATGAAACAGTGTTTTCGACGTAAGTAAGCTGTCAATTTTTGAATATAAAGGAGCTGACTTCATTAGAGATCAGAAGAATGTAAGGTATGTCTTATGCTCTGCCACAAAATTATGTGAAACTTCTGATGGAATATATGTAAAAATATATTGATGTATAGTGCGTACCTTTAAATTAATTCTGCATGTTTTTAAAGATCCATAAATAATTCATTCAGCTGCTTATGGTTCTGTGATATTGTTTAGCATTAACTAAATATATGATCTGATTTCAAAACATAATTTCTTTTCATAAAGTTAAGTTTAGTATCTGTTATGCAAAATGATGATGTATTGCTTTAAGAAAGATTTGTAATTTAATGCAAATATTCATTGTATGACTTGTTTGTTTTTTGTTAAATTTTTCATTTAAAAAAAAGCAAGGACAATTTATATTTGTGTGTACATAAAAAATAAATAAAATTAAAAAATACATGCTTACCATATACCCTTGATATTTATAAATGTCTTTTATTCTCAGTGTAACTTGAAATCTGTGGTTGTGTTATTTATTACATGTTTTTACCTTTTAGTGCTGTAAATTGTTGACCGTTTGTTGATGTAAATTGAGATTAAAAGAATTTCCAATTATTTAAAACTAAAAATTGAATAAATGAAATTAATTTTCAATATGTGTGAATATTAATCTGTTACCATGCATCCTTTTGCACCTCTTGTTACATTGTCTATAAAATTATGTATCAGTTTAAAATTTAAGTTTAATATTCATACTTATGCGTATGAATATTAGTCTAATATTAATGAATTTATTATTATGATTACCATACTTTTTCAAATATTCATTGTAAGGTGAATATTTGGGCATCTTCATTTCTGTATTAATCTCAAATCATATATGTGGTGTGATGTATATAACAAACTGACAAACTCTGAATAAAGCATTTTTATGTCAAAGAAGGATTTTAAATTATATTTCATAAAAAGTACAGATGCAAAGCAAACATGGTGGATAAATAAATTTTGTGTTAAATATCAAAATCACATTAAGGTGTCCACTTTTGAATCATAGTGTTGAGAGCCCTGGATATGGGATGATATGGGTAATTTATAAAGGACAGTACCTGTACTGGCCTCTTAAGATGCTTAAATGCTCAAGTCTGGACATATGAATTTTTAAATTAATATTTTTAACATTTTTAAATTAATTTTTTCTTATATTTCTAGATTTAGTTTAGAAAGAAACCTTGAAAAATTTCCCATGTTTTATAAATATTTTCTTAATCGCAAAATTAGATTTATAAGAGTAACTGGAATAACTTTTTTAATTAAGTCTATGTATCACATTATAAAATTAAAGGAGAAATATGTGTTATTTCTTATAATAGAAAAGCCAGACTTTATTGAAGAAGGATTATTAGAATATCTGGTTAATTTTTTTTAAATGCCTTTTTCAATATTACTTGTAGTTTGTTCCCACTGAATTATTATTACTGGCAAGTTGCTTAGTGGTAAGTTCTGCCACTTGAGATTTATTTGATTGTAAAGCTATAAAATGCATAAACACGATGAACATTGTAGTCCCATAATATAAGAAATAAATAACTTTTGCACCTCTTTAACGAGTGGGTGGCAACTTTAAGAACAACTTTAGAGCAAATGGGTTCATCCAAAGTTAAGTTATTACAGTTGTTACTGCTTTCTTATAAATCCAGTGTCATTACCAGTTTCACATGAACATGGTTTCACAAATAGTTTTGCATGGTATTAGGAGAACCAAATTTTTAGTCAGTTTTCTAAGTACTAAAAAATGCAGGTCATTGTTTAGATTTTGAGAATAGAGGGCTTTACTACAGGCATTAAATAATGCTAGTTTTGTACTAAGTAATCAGTTGGTTAATTTGCAAAAGCATGGTACACTGCATATTCCAATACACTTCTTTATTGAAATAAGTTTGTTTTCCTAATTCTTATGAAAAGGTAAATATTTACAATATACTTACTCTACCAAATATTACAAAGTCAATAACATTTCTTGCTCATAAGTCTTTATTTTACATTGATATGGGATGATTTTCAGATGTCTACATAAAGAATAAGCCTGTTTTTATGGTCTTTTTACCTTCTCGAACTTTCCTTGACTTTATAGTACTGCAAGAATGTACTTTGAAATTAATCTTTGATTATTTCAGAAATCATTGTCGATAAATTTGTTAAGTTTGATATAAAACAGTCATATTTGGATGCTCTGGCCTCAGTAAACATCATATATTTTTAAATGATACCCACGGTCTCTGAAATATCCTTTTTGGTTGATGCTTTCTAAGAAATTTACTTGCACTCACATCCTGAAGAACTATCTAACATCTGTTGCACTTTCAGCAGATGTTATTTTGCCCAAAGTATATATAATTAAATTGCTTGAATATGGCAAAGTACATGAGGGGAGAACTTTCTAAAGTATACATAACACTGTTGCTCTTTAGGTAGGAATAATCAAGCAGAGCATTAACCCCTACATCAGTTTCATCATTATGTTCTGATGCATAGTCAACAAAGAAAATCCAGTGCATTTGAAGTATTTTTTTAGTTTTTCTTGGATATTTCTCCAACTCTTGGAGATAAATTTAATTGTATCCAGAAACCAAAGGGCAGAAATTATATTTATCATCAAAGACTTTAGCCAAATTCTAAACAAAGAACTTTTGATTTGATTTGATTATGGCAAAGCATTTGAGAGCTATCTGCCTAAGAGGAGGGATACCTTCGTGGAGCACTTTATAAGGGAAACTGGCCTGCATACACGTTGCACTTGGCGAAGACTGAAAACACCCATACAGCTCATTAACCAGGAATTGAACCCCGGACTGAACTACCGACTTTACCACTTAGTTGGTGGTGGGCTGACCAGGAGCTTTGGAAATTAGGAAAAATTCCTAAATCCAGAACCTATAGAAGTGATGCAGGATTCAGGAGTGTAAAATATCGACTCAATTATATTCATTGCTTTAATTTCTGTATAAGCAGTAACAGTCATTTTTCTCTTCTCATTTAGAAATTTTTATCCAATTCTTTGATTGCTTGTAGTCAAGGTAAAGATGACCATATTTTAGAATTAAATCTGTATGTAACAAGAAGACATTTCACACTAACATTTTTAAAGCACCTGGGTCTCAAATATAGTATATCTTGCTGTAATGAACTTCCGTGACTGGTTTATTATATTTGATCTGATAATGAAATTGGATTATCCCAAACAAACAAAAATCCCCCGCAAAAAAAAAATGGCTACCATTGTCATGCCCACCAAAAGAAGTGAAGAATAACTCTGAATTTAAAAAAAATCTAGGGTTAGTTACAGTTTTAATTATATGAAATTACTAAATTCCCTTTTCACCAGGCATTAATAATTTTAATCATAAATAACTTAGCATATAAGACATGATTCAGATGCTACCCTTGAAATATATCCTTTACAACAAAATTCCCATTTGTAGCTTTATCCATATTTTTGTCTGAAAATTGAGAAAACATCCGTGTTGCAGGGTTGCCATGCTACCTGGAAAACCGGAAAAAGTCAGCAAATTCGAAATTTGAGCAAAAAATTCAGGGAAAAGTCAAGTAATTTAAATATTTTAGTCAAAATTTGGAAAAGTCGGGGAATTCCATACAGTGATCCCCCCAAAAAAGCGAGTTTTGCGCCGACGTTGGAAGCAATCACTTTCTTGGTAAATTGTGTATCGCGTGAGTGACATTCGGGCAGCTGGCATGGAGCCAATTTTCTCAGCTCCAATTAGATTGTCTTTTAGAAAGGCAAAGCAAGTTTGCAGCAACTTTTTGGTTTTCCGTAACCTCGAGAATCACATGTGCATGTGTAGTGCATGCTGAACTAAACAAAACACTTATTCTTGTATAAATCTTCACCTCCTAGTTTATCCTCTGGGCCCACCCTGAGCATTCAACTCACTGCGTCGCTCTTAGTAGCACCTTACGTGATGACAGCCAGAACAAAGCAAATTTGCAAGCTGCTCGTAGCGTAGCATCAGAACCGAAGAATATGTATTGTAGACATTCTTTGTCTGGACTGGAATTGGTTTAATCCTAGTATATGGTACTATAGAGTGGCTTCGTTCCAACGTAGAGGAAAACAGCTGCGCATGGGCAAAATATCTGTCACCAAAGCTCAAAGCCAGTGTCCAAGTTCGAAGATCACGTTATCAAGAGTTCATAAAATGAATATCGTTTAAAATTTCTTTAAAGGAAAAGAAAATATTTTTTCATGCAAGTAAATTAATTAATGGATTAGCTATTTTGACCAAAAAAAAGAAAGAAAGAAAATCTGTGCTTAAATTATTGCGAAAAGTCAAAGAAGAAACATTTTGTCAAAGAACGGTTCTTGTTCCTCAGTCTCCTGATCGTGGAGAGAAAAATTCTTGCCGCCAAGTCCCTTGCCAAATTTTCTAGCAGCGTAATAGCATTTACGTCTATGGAACCTTTCTTTCTTCACATAGACCTTCTTTGGTTAGAATAGCCTCCATGTACAGTACACACGGGATTTGGCGACATGATGATGAGCAGTAAACATGTCATTTTGGAGTTAGCGACAATTTTCAAAATCCTGCCAAGGCCTTAGCATACAGTACTAGGATTTTACCATAAAATATTTTAAACCTTTTTTTTTTTTTTTTTTTTTTTTTTTTTTTTGTCTTTTTAATAAATGCGTTATTTGTCATGTTCCAGTAAAATAAAAAAAAAAAATAGTAACCAGTCATCTAGGCTAACCTTTTAATATTCGCTAAAATATTCTTGATTATTCTAATTCAATTTTTAAGTAATTATCTTTATTTTTATGTTATTTGTATCATTTAATGTTGCTTCTTCCCTCTAAATTTATTTATTATTAGTAAATAATACTTTCAAATTTCAGGAAATTTTCTCTGGCATAATCCTGAAACTAATTCTAGCAGTATGATCACATACCATCTCGAAATTTAATGCACATATTTTTTTGCTTATGTATGCTGCTAAATAAATATAAAATACCTGAGTTTATTTAAAAATATCATTAAATAGCTTTATTTCGTTTAGCTGCAAAATGTCTGCAGAAATTTTTTAATCCAGATTGGGCAGATTCTAATCTGAATATTCGGTGGAGAAAACAACTCCTGTTATAGTTATAATAGTAATACTTTGGGGAATATTTATATATATATATATATATATACGGCAAATTTTGGTGTTTTCAATTAATACCATAATGAATTTACCTCTTAGCACAGCCGACGTGCATTACGCGGATAGACTGGAATTTTCTTAAAAACACACCTGGAAAAGTCAGGGAATTTCATTCTCCTGTTTGACAACCCTGGTGTTAGTTCTGTAGTTCATATAAATAAAAGCTGAGTAATGATCAATTGAAGCTTTGATATCTGCTGTTGTAGGTTACTTATGTTGTGTTTCTTTAACATCATCCGTAACTTCAATCAGTGAAATCTTATCCTACTGAAGTCGGGGGGGGGTTCAAGTCCCGAAAACGGGCTGGCTGCATGGGCATTTTCGTGATTTTCCCCATGAGTAATGTGCATACGAGCCAGTCTCCTATAGAAAGTCCTGTATGAAGGCATCCCTTCCCTTAGGCAGATAGCCCTTGAGGTTTTGCTATAATCACATAAACCAAACCAAACCTAAGTTATACAGGTTTGAAGGTCTGATACCAATGTAGAACATCATTCAGTATACAGCTTCTCCATTTTTCTGTAGAAGCAATACAGACTTTCAAAGATAACTTGTGTCTTTTTTTAAAATCATTCAATTAAAACCTTTAGTTGCCAAATTCTTTTGCTATTTCAAATGCCTCTTTATTAAAGATACCTTTTGATGATATTGACATATTTTTGGCTCTGGAATTTTGAGCTCATTTAATTAGCACAGTGTCAATTTCTAAACAATCTGACTTC